AGAGGGGGATGACAGAGGATGAGATGGTTGGATGGCATCATCGACTCGATGGACATGGGTTTGGGTAAACTCTGGGAGTTGGTGATGGACAGGGAGGCCTGGCGTGCTGCAGTTCATGGGGTTGCAGAGTCGGACAGCACTGAGTGACTGAACTGAACTGAGTTGTTTCATTGATACAGTATGTTCTTGTATGTCTAAGGATTATTGAAGTTTACTCCTTCCTGCACAGGTCTGCCTCCTCTGAGAAGCTTTTCCCACCATGTGGAGTTGTTTTATGTACTCTTCATATTAAAGATTTTCCTTGAATGTTGGTAATATTGGTATCATTAACTTTTCTATCCCTGAATGTGTGTGATGACCAGCCTGGGTTCTGGGTTAGAGGATCCCTGGGGTCAGATATATTTGGGTATTTTCTATTAAGTTGGTCGGATTTCTCTGAAACAGGCTCTTTCAGTCTCCTCTCCGGAGGTGGATAGAGACCTGATTCTCAATATTCCTGGGGTAGAGAGTTGAACAGGTGGGTGAAAAACCTCTTAAAATACTGTTAATGCCTTCATTTAATCTTTATTTTTCTTTAAATCATGGACCCTGTCTGCTGAACTGTGCCTAATACTCAGATAGAGACCCTGCATTTTACCCTCTCCAGAAAATAAACTTCCAGACCTCTGTCAGGGCAGGGGATGGGCAACTTGCCCGAGTGCATGGCATAGGAGGGGGTTTAGGGACAGGACTGCTTTCACACACCTTCCAACCACTCTCCTTGTGCCAGCGTTCTCTTCACCCTCCACTTTCAGAAGCTTTCATCAATTCTAGGACATTCTGATGAGTCTTAACCAAGCTTTCTCCACTGTGGGCTTAAGATTCAGCTTTCTCGAATCTGCAAATCTCATTATCACTTGTCTCCAAATTCTGTTTTTAAATGTCCTTTTCTGCTTTATCATTGTGGACTTATAATTTTACTTTTATTGATGTTACAGTCACATTTTAAGAGGAATGTGTCCAATCCACTAGTTGTATATAGAAGTCATTAGATTCTCACTATATATTAGTGAGAATATATATATATATATATGTATGCTGTACACATTAGATTTTTCACCATGTCTTGAGAAGAAGATAATCCCCAGTTTACAGAAGAGAAAGCAAAGGCTTGATATCACCCAATTTGTGTAAGATTCAAACCTAGATCTTCTGAGTTCAAATCCATTGTTCTTTCCATCACCCCATTCTGTCTATATTAAATTTAAAATGGGAGAGAAAATAAAGTTGGTCATGTTTCAGTGACACTAGAACAAAATATGGAGTGGCAAGATGAGGATAAAACAAAGTAGAATTAATGAAGTAATATAGAGGTATTGCCACCCAGCACTTCTATAATAATTACTTCTAAACTTCAGTAAGTTCATTTGGGATTTCCCATAACTTCTTATGGAAAACCCGAGTGAACCTTTTGACCAACCCAATAAAACTGCATTTTACTCTGAAAATATAAAACTCTCTATCTCTAAAGAGTTTCCCTAAGTAAAATGGAAGCTAGGTTAACTAGCCAAAAGAATACATGAGCAAATTCCTGCCAAAGTGTAGCATCATTTAACCACAGACTTACTGAAGTTAAGTAGTTATTCCATTCTAAGAAACATAAATCCACTTAAGTGAGCTCTCACTAAGGCAAGAAGAAATGATCTCATGAACATTCAAAGACAAGAAACTTCAAAACTTACATTTAAAAATTATCCAATCTGGAAAAAAGGTGAAATCATAAAATTGGTTTGCTGGGAAATTAAAAATCATAAAAATTTTAAATTTAATAGTCATTAAATGCAAACAAAGTATTAGGGTTATTTAGGTTCCATTTCCTGTCTAGAAGATCAACATGAAAACAATTTTCTAAATATCTTCTTCCTGTGTATGAAAATCACAGAAACGCCTGTGCAGATTTTAGCATAATTCACTTGTTTGAATCATGTTGGGTTGCTAATTTACATAGCTGGATTTTTTAAGAATCTTCACCTGGAAATTATATGAATTTCTCCAAAAGAAAAGTCATACATATTTTCTGGCTCTGAAATATGGTTTTGTAACCACTGAACAAATAGCTCTTTATGTATTTATTTTTTTCCAATTTCATAAGAATGCACATTTTACTTCATTTTATGATTACATTTTCATTTATTTATTCAGCAATTGTTTATTTAGCAAAGACTATGTGAGAGTTGACTCATTGGAACAGACCCTGATGCTGGGAGGGATTGGGGGCAGGAGGAGAAGGGGACGGCAGAGGATGAGATGGCTGGATGCCATCACCGACTTGATGGACATGAGTTTGAGTAAACTCCGGGAGTTGGTGATGGACAGGGAGGTCTGACTCTCTGCGNCGACAGAACTGAACTGAACTGAACTGATGTGCTAGATATTGTGCTAACTGATGGGAATAAAGTGAGTAAAAAATATAAAAAGATCTAGCATTGTTTTTTTAAATATTTATTTAATTTATTTATTTGGCTGTGCCGAGTCTCACTTGTGGCATATGGGAGCTTCGTTGTGGCATGTGAGATCATTTTTTTCTTTTTTTTTTAAGTTGCATGTGGAATATTTAGTTGCAGCATGCAAACTCTTAGTTGTGGCACATGGGATCTAGTTCCCTGACCAGGGATCAAACCCAGGCCCTTTGCACTGGGAGCATGAAGCCTTAGTCACGGGGACCTCCAGGGAAGTCCTCAGAGGCTTGTTTATTTTAAATGGCATTCTGTATGGCTCTAAATGGTGTTCTCTCCTGGGAGTCACTGATAGAGCTATGAGGGGCTTAGCAAATATTCTAAATGTGCTTTCCAAAAATAGATTCCAGTTCTTATCTATGTTTAGCAATAACAGTGGTTTGAATGTTTATAAGGTAATATAGGTGCTTTCCTGGTGGCTCAGTGGTGAAGAATCTGCCTGCACTGCCGAAAATACACGTTTGATCCCTGGGTTGGAAAGATGCCCTGGAAAAGAAAATGGCAACCCACTCCAGTGTTCTTGCCCAGGAAATCCCAGGGACAAGAGGAGCCCGGTGGACTATAGTCCATGGGGTCACAATAAGAGTCAGACACAACTTAGTGACTAAACAACAGAAAAGGCAACATAGACCAAATTTTGAGACTGACCATCTGATGGTGTCTCTCACATAGCTTCAACTCAGACTGATAAATGTGTGTCGTTATCAATTGATACTCCATCCTTATCTGAGAGCTAAGTTAAGATTAAGTGACGTTTTGAGCAGCCCAGATTTGTTCTGTTTCTGGATTTTGTCTATAGAAAGTCCCTTCCATTGTGTTCAGGCCTGGCTTTCTTCTGAGTCTGGCATTTCCTCTTTGGTCGCAATTTGCGATTTACTCTAACTAGAGTAATGTGCTGCTTTGAGCATCCGTTTTTAAAAGTTGAGATAACTCTGGTTTATAACACTTTATCAATTTCATCTGTACAACACTGTATTTCAACTTCTGAATATGCTACAGCACTATTTTAACTGGAGAGTCAGAAACTCCATCATGCTCCAGACCATACATCTTGTTGCCAAGAAGTTTCTCACACAACAGCAATCGTGTATTTGTGACTTACTGGAGAGTTTGGGTGTCTCTGAACATGAACACTGTAAGGCACGTGGTGAACTGACCCAGGGAAGCTCCTGGGATCCTCTCAGGTTACTTGCCCTCTTAGATGTAATGGTGTGTGTGTGCGTGTGTGTCTGTGTATCTGTTTTCTGCAATTAGAGAAACCATGGTCCTTGGTCTGTCAGGTTCAATATTGAACCTCTGATCCCCAAAGAAAATGGCCAACATTACTGTGCTCAGAATAGTTAAAGAGCTTAAACAATAGTCAAAGTCTTTGATCTGAGACATTCTTATGAGTAGGCACAGGGCTTCTGAATGCATCACAGAATTGGACTGAAGCCTGGAAAGTTAGCCCGGTGTGTTTGAACAAACCATAGCTGACAAATACCGTATTTTTATATTGGAACATTCCTTTCCTTTTAAAAAGAGACCCAGCATCTATCTTATCCTTTTTGCACATTCTTGAGTGGTTCAATAATCAGTCTCAAAAGTCTTTTTAAAAAATTTTACTTTTATCCTTTTACAAGTTTAGGAAACAATTGATTGAGAAGATAAATGCTGGCTCTGCAATTCAAATTGGATTAAACGTGTTTTTTAAGCTTATAAAATTCTTTGTCTGCCTGTCTCTCTCACACACACAAAACACATGTAAACAAGCACATGCCCACATACACAGTACTTATAGTTGAGTAATATTATTGTTTATGGAGTTAACACTGTCAAATGATTACTGTATAGGTCTATGGTACGCATACTCATATATACAGGTAATATATGAGTACACATTTTTTCTGCTTTAGTTGATCATATAGTGAGATGAACTATGCTGATATGGGAGGACAGAATCAGGTAAAACACAGTTGAATCAGATGATTTCAGATATTTTCAGAATAACTGCAATTATTCATTCATCAAACTTTTGAATATTTTCTAGATGTCCCAGACTCTGTTCTAGGCTTTTGGAGTATAAAGATGAAAGCCATCTGCCTTGCATAGGAGACAGAGGCACAGACATGAGTTACAGTTCATGAGACAAATGCTGTAAGAGATTTCTGAGAAATGCACCAGGGGAGTGCTGTAGACTGAATGTTTATGTCCCCAGAATTCATATGTAGAAACTGAATCTCCAGTTGGTACTGTGTTGGGGGTGAAGTGTGTGGGAGGTGATTAGGTCATGAGAATGGCGTCCTTGTGAATGGGACTAGCGCCCTCATAAAAGAAATCTCACAGAGTTCTTTTCCCCTCCTGCAGTGAGAGGACACAGCAAGAAAACAGCTATCTGTAGACCAGACACTGAATCTGTCAGTGCCTTGACCTTGGAGTTCCCAGCCTCTAGACAGTGAGAAATAGATTTCTGTTGTTTGTAAGCCACCTGTTTTTTGGGCTTCTGTTATAGCAGCACAAATTGGCTAAAATAGGAGCAAAACCTTAAGTCACTATCATACATGATGGCACTTTCATGGAAGGGACACATTTCAGTTGAAATGTGAAGTGTGAGCAAAACTGGCCTGCCTTAGAAAAGGGTCAAATACATTGCTGGAAGAGGTGCTATAGCATGCCAACAGGGTTTGAGCAGGGTTTACTTACAAGATGGGCAACATAGAAATCAACTGATCCTTGTAAGCTGGATATTTGCATTTATGGAGCTGTTCTTGGAGTCATCTTGGACTCCTCTCTTCTCCATCTGCCACATCCAAGTGACTGGCAAATGTTATTGGCAGAATGTCTATGTTCAAAACATGCCACATCAGACCACTTCTCCCCATCTCCATGACTACTAGCTATCATCTCTTGCCTGGACTATGACCAAAGCATCTGAGTTGGTTGTGCTGTTTTTGTGTTGCTAGGTGCCCAATTATCACAAACCCTGCACATGTGTTATCTCACAGTCTCCTCAGGTCTAGAAGGAGCCTGGATATATCTTAACGAACTCCTGCTCAGCATCTGACAGTCTGTAATCTAGATGTTGGCAGGCTGCATTCTCATCTGGAGGTTAGACTAAGGAAGAATCCACCTCCTACTTAATTCAAATTATTGGCAAAATTCAATGTCTTTTTGTTATAGAACTGAGGGTCCAGCTCTCAGTCCGGGGACTGCCCATGGGTCCTAGAGGTCTCTGACACGTGGCCCACTCATAGGCCAGAAATGGTTTGCTTCCTCAACAGAAGCATGAGAGGGTCTCACATCTCAGTCTTCCAAGATGAAGTCTTATGTAATGTCATATTACCGTGACAGTGAATCCTATCACCTGTGCCGTGTTCGGTCTATCGGAAGTCAGTCATAGGTTCTGCCTGAATCTACGGCTTACTAGAGCATGGTTTAGAAATCACCCTAAGGAGGGTCCACCTTGTTGTTCTTCTGACTTCATTCATACCCTCCAACAGTTCATTCTGCATACAGTAGCCAGAATGATCCTTTAAAAAATGAAAGCTAACACCATTCTTTTGCTCATGACCCTTTACTGGCTTACAAGAAGGCCTATGAGCTCATGCACATGTGAACACTGACTGCCTAACTTGCTGCATTTTTCACCAGTCTTTGCCCTGCTTGTTTCTCTTCAGTCACATGGGAATCTTTGTGGATCCTCAACCATGCCAAACACTCTTCTGGCTGAGGTTATTGGCAGATGTTTTCTGTACCTCAAACACTATCCCAACAGACCATTGCAACTTTAACCCTCTCTTCATTGAGGTGCTTGCTCAAAAGTCAGTTTCTCGGAGAGCACTTCTCAGAATCCCCCAAACTAAAAACCCCCTGCACCATACATCTCGGCATCTTTCCTCTACCCTATTTTCTTCCTAGATCTTATGTTGCTGTGTATTTTATTTGCTTTTTAAAAAAAAAATTTTATGTGGGCCATTTTTAAAGTCTTTATTGAACTCATTACAATAATACTTCTGTTTCGTGTTTTGGTTTTTTGTCCATGAGGCATGGAGGATCTTAGTTCCCTGCCTAAGGATCGAACCTGCACCTCCTGCCTTGGAAGGTGAGGTCTCAACAATTGGACTGACTGGGGAATCCCCACCCAATTTTCTTCCTGGTTCTTATCTCACTGTGTATTTTAGAATGTACTTGTTTATCTATTCATTGACTGTCTCTCCCACTAGAACTCAAGATTCATAAAGACAAGGACTTTGTCTATTTTATTTGCTGTTTTTTCCCAGTGCCTAGCATAAAGTTGGCACTTCGCATCTGGTGTGTAAATGACTAATGAAAGGAGTTAAGACACAAAATAAAATTTTTCAAAATGCTTTATTTTGTCTTCGATAATATACTGACTTTTTCTAGCAAGTGGTGACTAAATCCTCAACCATATCTTGAAATCTTTCTCATGATTTGGTTTGATTGAAATAGTGAAGAACAGTCAGTATGTCAAGTGAGATTTAAAGTCACCTTGGTAACCTCAGAGTGATTGATATTTCTTAGTTGTCAACTGTTCAAAATTAGCATTACTAATAGTGGAGAACTGGACTCTAACACACAAAAAAGGCAGTAATGGAAAAAGATGAGAGATTTTTAAAAGACACAAGACATATAGAAAAAAATGGTAAAATGTAAATGTGTTTCTGTTCTAGCTGCTAAGTCGTGTCCAACTCTTGCGACCCCACGGACTGTAGCCAGCCAGGCTCCTCTGTCCATGGGATTCTCTAGGCAAGAATACTGGAGTGGGTTGCCATTTTCTTCTCCAGAAAATGTAAATAGTAAATATAAATTCTACTTTATCATTACATTACATACATTTTTAATTAGATTAAATGTCAGTGATTAAACACTCCAATTAATAGGCAAAGATTTGTAGGATATTTTTTAATGATTCAAATATATGCTGTCTATAAGCATCACACTTTAGATTCAAGACAAGTAGGTTAAAAGTAAAATGATAGAAGAAGATATACTATTCAAACAACCAAAAGAGAGTTGGAGTGACTATATTAATATTAGACAAATGATCTTTAACACAAAATTTTTACTAGACAAAAAAAAAGGTCATTTTGTAGTGATAAAATGGTCAATGCATCCATACCTGACATGATGTGTGACATATGTGCATGCTAAGTCATTTCAGTCGTGTGTGATTCTTTGCAACACCATGGCCTGTAGCCTGCCAGGCTCCTCTGTCCATGGGATTTCCCAGGCAGAAATACTGGAGTGTGTTGCCATTTCCTTCTCCAGAAGATCTTCCTGACCCAGGAATTGAACCCACATCTCTTGCATCTCTCTCATTGGCAGGCAGACTCTTCTGGGAGATATAACAACTATATACTCTGTACCTGACAGCAGTGCTTCAAGTTCATGAAGCAAAAGAAAAAAAAAAAAAACCACCTCAGAATTTAAGGGAGAAATAGGAAATTCGAGAGTAATAATTGGACACATCACTACTCAAACAATGAATAGAACAACTGGACAGAAGATTATCAAGGAAAAAAGCTTTGACTAACACTACAAACCAACTTGACATAACAAACATCTATAGCACCCAGGAAATGCTAAAGACAAATTCTTCTCAAGTAAACATGGAGCATTCTTCAGAATGGACTATATATTAAGGCATAAAAGAAGTCTTAAAAAATGTGGAATGATTGAAGTCATACAAAGTATGTTTTCTGACCATAATAAATTAGAATTAGAAATCAAAAACAGAGGAAACTTAGGGAAATTAACAAATACTGGAAATTATATGACATGCTCATAAACAAATAATGGGTCAAAAAAGAAGTCACACAACCTTCGGAATACTTTCAGATGTGTGAAAACTAAAGTACAACATGTAGCATAACTTATGGGATGCAGTGAAAGCAATGCTTAGTCTCTAGTTCTAAACATCTGTATAGAAAAATAAAAGCTCTCAAATCAATAACTTATTCTTTCACCTTAAGAAACTAGGGGAAAAAAGAACAAACTTTACCCAAAGCAGAAGGAAGGAAATAATAAAGATTATAGCAGAAATAAATGAAATAGGGAATAGAAGAATAGAGAAAATAAAAACATCCAAACTTTGGTCCTGTGAAAGCAGCAACAAAATTGACAGTATTTTCCTAGGTTGACAAGGAACGGAAGAGGACTCAGTGAAAGAGGTGATACTATTAACAACCTAACAGAAATAAAAAAGGACTCTAAGGTGTTATTATAAACAACTGTATGCCAACAAGTAAGGTAACCTAAATGAAATGGACACATCTCTAGAGTGCCAAGAAAAATCAATGCGGAAAGAATAGCCCAAGAAATGGAGCTGGGTCAATGGGTATTCACATGCAAAATAATGAAGTTGATCACTTACCTCATAACAAATACAGAATTTAACTAAAAAAAAAATGGGTCAGAGACCCAAATATGCAGTAGTTAAATCTACAAAACTCTTCGAGCCCGCAGAGGTATGAGTCCTCATGACCTTGGATTGACAAGGATCTCTTTTCTTTGTTACCATCTGTTTGGCTGTGCTGGGCCTTCGCGGCAGGGTGCAGAGGCTTCTCTCTAGCAGCAGCGCACAGGCTCCTCTAGTTGCAGAGCACGGAGCCTCGCGTGCCTGGGCTCGCTGGCTGTGGCCTGTGGGCTCAGCAATTGCAGCATGTGTGCTCAGTAGCCCCACAGCGTACGGGATCTTAGCTTCCTGACCAGGGGTCAAACTTGTGTCCCCTATATTTGGAGCCAGATTCTTAACCACTGGACCACCAAGGAAGTCCCTAGGCAATGGTTTCTTAGATATGACACCTAAAGCATAAATCTGTCAAAGAAAACAAAACTTGGAGATTATAAAAATTTAAAATGTTTATGCATCAAGATGGCAAAAAGAAACCCACAGAATGGGAGAAAATATTCACAAATCCTGTATCTGATAAGGGTCTGGATCCAGAATATGTGAAGCACATTTATAACTCAGGAATAAAATGCAGCCCAGTTAAAACATGGGCAAAGATTTGTTTTTTAGAAAAGCTTTTTTATTTTATATTGGTGTGTAGCCAATTAACAATGTTGTGATAGTTTCAGGCAATCGTCCTATGGACTCAGCCATACGTGTGCATGTATCCATCCTCCCCCAAACTCCCCTCCATCCAGGCTGCCACGTAATAATGAGCAGACTTCCATGCGCTACACAGTAGGTCCTTGTTGGTTATCCATTTTAAATACAGCAGTCTGTCCATGTCCATCCAAAACTCCCTACCTATCCCATCCCCCATCCTTCCCCCTGGCAACCACAGATCATTCTCTAAGTCTGTGAATCTGTTTCTACTTTATAAATAAGGTCATTTGTATCATCTGTTTTTAGATTCCACATTTAAGGGATGTCATACGATAATTCTTCTCTGTCTGACTTAACTGCACTCATTATGACAATCTCTAGGTCCATTCATGTTAAAGCATAAATCTGTCAAAGAAAACAAAACTTGGAGATTATAAAAATTTAAAATGTTTATGCATCAAGATGGCAAAAAGAAACCCACAGAATGGGAGAAAATATTCACAAATCCTGTATCTGATAAGGGTCTGGATCCAGAATATGTGAAGCACATTTATAACTCAGGAATAAAATGCAGCCCAGTTAAAACATGGGCAAAGATTTGTTTTTTAGAAAAGCTTTTTTATTTTATATTGGTGTGTAGCCAATTAACAATGTTGTGATAGTTTCAGGCAATCGTCCTATGGACTCAGCCATACGTGTGCATGTATCCATCCTCCCCCAAACTCCCCTCCATCCAGGCTGCCACGTAATAATGAGCAGACTTCCATGCGCTACACAGTAGGTCCT